TCAGTTGTCTTCATGAGGGACCATGAGGCACTAGTAAACATAGCATGAAAATGATAGTGACATTTTGCAATGATGACATTTGAGATTAATGATAGATCAGTTAGATACACTGATAGAAGCTTAGAAAAAAGTTTAAGTATAAGTTTTAATATTGGTAGAGAAAAGGTAAAGTGATTTCTCAACTGAGCATCCTTATCCTAGAAATATAGCTAATGATTAGAAATATAAATTTTGTCAAAGAAAATTAATATGGATATAGGCTAATGTTTATCTCATAACCAAAATGAAAGACAAAAAATAACAGCTTCTAATTGAGCACGTATATGTTTCTGCCTACTGAGTGAATGAATTCAGGAACAATTGGTCAATTACACAGCTCCCTCAAAAAACTGAGGAAAAGTGTGTATGGCCTCAATTTTGAATGAACTTAATTCTAAGATATTATTGGTATAAAGTTTATTAAATATTATTTTTGCCTTGTACATCACATCTCCATAATGCACCTATAAATTATAAATATTTTTTGTCTATTAAAGAGGGGAAGGACTTATTACAAAGTTGTTGAAAGTCTGAATCTGGTGGAGTCTGCTTTTCACACACCTTTATAGAAAGTTAGTATACACACGCACACACACACACACACACACACTGACACTCAAATAAATTGAGACGAGGGCTGTGATAAATTTGATTGGGCAGGATTATTATAAATATTATTTTATTACATTCTCTTTTCTCTTCTCTGGCCCTAGAGATGCTTTGGTTGTTCACTGGTCCTCAGAATACCATTCTTCACTCAAATATGTGTTCTGATAAAAAGATTTGCAACATAACTCATCCTGAGAAATAGAAATGGAATGTGACACTGTAATCTCTCCTGTATGGGCAGTGAATAGGGAAAAAAATCATACTGAATAAAATAATAAACAGATCTTAGTGAAACAAGTTTTCAGGCAACTGTAAGGATGTAAGAATTCATCAACATCATTTTATCAAGCCAACAAGTAAACAATAAAGAACAACTAAATATACTTTTCAGCATAAATACAAATGCCATTAATCTGTTGTTTATGACTGTTTTTCACTCCCTACATCAGATCCTGGAAGCAGTATTTCAGTCAATTCTACCTGCCTCTTCTCCGTATAAGAGTCAAAATCTTATAAATATGTTCTTCTGTTTTTTTAGAATTGCCCAAGTTTATTTATGTTAATCAGGATTCACTATTATCTTATGCATGGTTAATACAGTGACTGGTAAAATATGACATGATATAAAAATGTTAGTCACCTATTCATTATTCATTATTAAAAATAAAAGATCTATCTATCTATCTATCTATCTTGAGAGTCTCTCCGTATGGTCTCTCTCTCTCAAAATAAATAAACTTTAAAAATAAATAGACCTTAAATGGGAAAAATCAAGAAACAAAAACATAAGTTAATTTTTTTTCAATGTGGTAAAAGTAGACAAGACTGTTTTTATTTATCTCAACATCAAAGGTGAGAGTGTTTCCTACTTCTAGTAATATAATCTATCAATAGCCTTTAGACAGAAGGTTTGAAATACTGGACTTATACAATGTTTGCTTTAAAGGCTACATGAACATATGTAATCTATAGGACATCATTTTCCAAGCCTCCACTTCTATATGTAGTCTTTTTTGAAACTAACCTGAGAACACATTTGTAATAGAAGTACCATCAGTGTTTTCTTCCACAGTTGCCCCCCCTCCTTTTCCATCTGACAAAGTAATCCATGTATTTCATCCTGACCGATTGCCTGCTGGGGTGCCAAACAAAGGGAAAATATCCATATCTGGGTAGACCCCTCATTCAGGGCATGGATTACCCATTGCAAGAATTTTTGCCTTCCTTATTCGATACAAATCTTGGTTTAGGAGGGAATTAAGTAGAGGTAGCACAGTCATTTGACCCATGCTGGGATATTTTGAATTTAAACAACTCTTGGGATAGGGAAGAATTAAAAGAAATCTTTTTAATGATCCTGCCACACTCATCTCTCTACTGTTGCCAAAGACTATTGCAATAGCATAAGTTATGTATTATATACTATTACATTTCTTGTAGAAGGTAGTTCCATAAACAGAATTAGAAAAAATACTAGAACAATTAATACCAGAATTTGTATGAAACCATGAAAGATCCTGAATAGCCAAAGCAATCTTGAGAAGCAAAAGTGGAGGTATTACAATTCCAAATTTCAAGGTATACTGCAAAGCTATCATAATTAAAACGGTATGTTAGTAGTACAAAAATAAGACACATAGATCAATGGAACAGAATAGAGAGCTCAGAAATAAACTCATGCTTATATAGTCAATTAATCTATGACAAAGGCGGTAAAAAAATATAATGGAAAGAAAAATGAAACTGGACCACTTTCTAACACCATATACAAAATTAACTCAAAATTATTAAAAACTAGACCTGAAACCATAAACATTCTAGAACATAGGTAGTAATTTCACTGACAAACCTAGTTCCATATATTTATTTAGATGAACATCAAAGAAGAAAATATAATTGAATTGTTATTAATCCCTTTCAGATTGTAACAGTAACTGATAACATCCATTGAATTGAATTTCATTTTTAATAAAATTTACTTTATATGTTTAATAACTACCAGAATGTGTTTTTAAATCATGTCTTATTAATAAATGTAATAAATCAGTAAAAGGAAAAATAAAATTTCAAGGACATAAATAAATTTGTTTATATACATTTTTAATATTCATTATATTTGAATGTAATAAAAATGCAGAAATGTAAATACGTAATTATTTAGTATTTTAAATTGGAGGCGTGTTCAGCAATGAAATATGAGTTCAACAAAATGAAAAGGATACAAAATTTATGATGTTAAAGATCTTCAGATGTTCTTTAAATATATGATGTGGATATTACATCTTGTTTAGATTTGAACACTTTCTAAAGAGTGGTTTAATAATTTTCTTTTAAATTCCAAGATTTACAATGTAACCCAGGCCACATAATTTACACATTTTTTAATGTGTCACGAAAGAAAGAAAGAAAGAAAGAAAGAAAGAAAGAAAGAAAGAAAGAAAGAAAGAAAGAAAGAAAAAGTTAGTAGGTTGTTTTAAAACTTCTTGGTCCAATATCATAGCTACACATAAGTATTTAAATTTAAATCTAAATTAAATTAAATAAAAACTTGGATGCAACCACATTTCAATTGTGAGGCAAGTGGCTTCATATTAGACAAGGTAGACATAAAAAATTTGTCACCACACAAAGTTATATTGAACAGAACTGTTTTAGGGAATTGTATTTGTGTCAGCAATGAAGTCCCTTGAATTTATACAAGACTAGATTTTCCATATCAGTGACATATATGCTTTGTTTTTCTTTCCTCTTACTCATGAAGAGGCCACCAAAATATGCATAGATTTAGGATTCAAAGGTATGTTGATAGACTTACAGAAAATTTCCCAATGGGTTTAATGCATGATTTTCTTTTATTACCTGTTAATAAAAAAAGGTTGTGATTAGTTTCTGTGGGGTTTTTGGTATACCAATAAATGCTTAAATCATGACTAAATCACAGTTTATCTTAGTTTCAAGAGATTATTTTTATTATAGATATATACAGTATGACTGTTCAGAAGAGAGTGCTTCTGATACTTATTATTTCTCTAATTTACAGTGATATATATATATAGTACTTCTATAAAATGCTATAGAAGTAGCATTTTAAAATATGCATTTCTATTAACATTTTTTAGCAAAGGAATTATAAAGGCAGAACAATCTTGGCAGTTTTAGACAAGAGGTAACCACTAGCTGCAACTATAGAATGATATTGCTCCTCTGATACCGAATTGTATAATTAGGATTATATAGTTCAGTGATATATGAATGACATTTGTTATATGAAAGGAAAATATAATTTTTTATAAAATATACCTGCCACCATATTAGGACTGATATAAAATTGTCAGGGTATATTTGCATATTTATATCAGTCCTAATATAGTGTCAAGGTATATTTGCAGATAACAATATAAGTCATATAAACTATAATTAAAACTTTAGAGTACAGATATTAGAACACTGTCTTTGTGTGTTCTCATGCCAGCAACGCTGAGTATAAATAATTTCTTATTTTCATGCACTGTTGATGGGAATATAAACTGGTATAGCCACTGAGGAAAACAGAATGGAGGTTGCTCAAAAAATTAAAATTAGAAATATCATACAATCCAATAATCCTACTACTCAATATTACCCCAAAAAGCCCTGATTTGTAAGGATATATGCACTCTTATGTTTATTTCTGCATTATTTACAATGCCAGAGATATGGAAGCAACCAAAGTGATCGTTGATAGAGAAAAGGATAAAGAAGATGTGAAGTATATATATGAATGTTACACAGATATAAAAAAGGATGAAATCCTGCTATTTGCAAAAACATGGATGGACATAGAGGATATTGTGCTAAATGAAATATGCCACACTGAGAAAAATAATGCCATATGATTTCACTCATATGGAATCTAAAAATCAAAACAAACGAAGAAACAAACAAGAAGCAGAATCTGACCTATAAAAACAGAAAACAAACGGACAGTTGTCAGAGGGAAAGGATGTGGAAGGAATGGGCAAAATGGGTGAAAGATAGTGGGAGATACAGACTTCTAGTTATGGAATGAATAAGCCCTGGGAATAAAAGGCAGAGCATAAGGAATATAGTCAATGATACTATTATACTGTGGTAGAGTTATAGATAGCAGATACACTTGTGGTAAGCATAGCATACAGTATAGATAAGGTCTATCACTATGCTGTATACCTGAAACTAATGTAACTTTGTGTGTCAACAATACTCAATTAAAAAGTGTTAATAAAATAAAAAACCTTATTTCAAAGAAAGTATATGATGAAGCAATTTAAATAAATTTTGATAAAATAAAACTACTAGACCCTTCTTTCCATGCCCATAGCACTCATGCAACCATGATCAGCATTTCTAAAAGCTGGCAGACTTTCTGCAACAAGTGTGGCAGGCACCAGCTCCACAAAGTGACACAGCACAAGAAAGGCAAAGATTATCTTTATGCCCAGGGAAAGCAGTGTTGCAACTGGATACAGAGTGGCTATGGTGGGCAAACAAAGCCAATTTTCTGGAAAAAGACTGACGCTACAAAGAAGATTGTGCTGAGGTTTGAATGTGTTGAGCCCACCTGCAGATCTAAGAGACTGCTGGCTATTAAGAGATGCAACCATTTTGAACTGGGAGGAGATAAGAATAGTAAGGACCAAGTGATGAAGTTCTAAGCTTCATACTTTGTTACACTATAAAGACAGTAAAATCTTGAGGTTATGTTCACATCAAACAAATACAAACGAAAAACCTACTGGAATAGATTTGTGCTTTATTTTCCTACGATGTTTATGTCTTCTGTCATTATGCTAAACAAATAAAATGAATCAATCTTTATTCTAGTACCTGGTCATTGACTTTTAAATAAGCTTTAAAAAACAGTTTTAGGGGCGCCTGGGTGGCTTAGTGGGTTAAGCGTCCGACTTTCGCTTAGGTCATGATCTCGCGGTTCGTGGGTTCGAGCCCCGTGTCGGGCTCTGTGCTGACTGCCAGCTCAGAGCCTGGAGCCTGTTTCAGTCTGTGACTCCCTCTCTCTCTGACCCTCCCCTGCTCACGCTCTCTCTCTCTCTCTCTCTCTCCTAGAAATAAATAAAACATTTTTAAAAAATGGTTAATATGACCAACTGTAAGGATATTTAAAAAAAAATAAAAAATAAAAAACAGTTTTAGAGTCATAGAAATATTATAAAAATGTTACAGATGGTTTCCATATACTCTACACTTATTTATGTATTAACATAATACATTAACTTGGTGCAGTTGTTATATTTAATGTACCAATATTGATACATTATTAACTCAATTATTAACTCAAGTCCATAATTTATTCAGATTACCTTTATTTTTACCGGAAGGTCTTTTTTTCTGTTCCAGCATCACACGTAAATCATCAGATTACATTTAATTGTTGTATCTACTTAGGATCTTCTTGGATGTGACAGTTTTGAAGGCTTTCCTTGTTTTTGATGGCCTTGACTTTTGAGAGGTATATGCTAGGTATTATATAGAATGCCCCTCAATTGGTTTTTCTCTAATGTTTTTCTCATGATTACACTGGGTTATATGATTTTAGAAGGAAGACCACATTTTCATCATATCATGGTGGAAGTCACACTATGAACCTGATTTATCACTGTTGATGTGAACCTTGACCAGCTGGCAGTGTTGATCCCAGTTACAACTTTAAACATGATGGTAAAACAGGTGCAATATATCATAAGGATTCACCAAATAAAAAATAAAGGCCAAGATAATATGAAGGCACAATAATGATTAAAATGATCTATTATTCAGAACTAATTAATTGGTAAAATATGAATAAAGAAATATTCAAGAAGCAAGCTTGAAATTTATTTATAGTTCCTATAATTTTTCTTAAAAATCTAGATGACAGACAAACCTAATTTGGTAACTGCCACATACAAAAAGGTAAGAAAAATATTCACTCAAAATCAGTGTTATATTATAAATAAATACACATCATGTGCTTGTAGTTGAGAATATCAGTTTCTAAATCATTTTCCATTCAACCACATTATACACATGCAGAAGAAATTTATTTCTAGTTTCAAATCTGTGATCTGGTTTAGATACTACACAAAAGAGTACACCAAATAAATTTATAATCAATGCTAAAACATTATATCAGAAATACAACTTACCAGTATTGGTTACAGGTGATATTTTGAGTCATACATATAAATATATCATTTAAATATGTATAATTATTTATATTATTTGCATTGATGTAATATATATATATGTATGCTTTTAAATGATTTTAGCTCTACTTGTTGCTTAAATTTAGGCAACTGTAATCCAAGACAAATTAAAGTTCTACAGATTTTAAGGGGGTTTTTCGGGGCACCTGTGTCGCTCAGTTGGTTAAGGGTCCGACTTCAGCTCAGGTCATGATCTCATGGTTCATGGGTTCAAGCCCCGCATCGGGTTCTGTGCCTACAGCTCGGAACCCAGAGTTTGCCTCAGACTCTTACTCCTCTCCCTCTGCCCCTCCCTCATTGTCTCTGTCTCTCTCTGTCTCTCAAAAATAAGTAAACATTGAAAAAGTAAAAAAAAAAAAAAAAAAGATTTTAAATGAGTTTTTATCCTGTGGTAGATTATATGTATATGAAATATATTAGAAAAAAACCTGCAAAGTTGTCACGCTTAAATCTACCACAGCAATAATTATAGTCCTTTAGTATTATAATGGAGTGAAAGTAACCACTGAGGCTGCTTCAGGCAATTGAGAAGCTGTCAAAAATCTCCTGCTGGTAGGCAAACCTTAGGTGCCTCCCTGGTAACCAGGCCAAAGGTTTCCAAACTGTCCAGAAAGCTTGCTTAATGATAGGCAGTGGAGTGATTTGTAACGAATATTTTTAATGTCAGATATCCAAATAAATGAGTCAGCACGTTAAAATAACAATGTCCGTATATGGACAGTTCTGATTAACTGTCCCCTCATCTTCTCCGAAGTCCTACCTCTTGTTATGTCGCACAGCAAGTTTTAAAATACTCCATATCTTGGAAAACAACTGTTATCTTCCATTACTCCTACTCAAAGAATTCATTAATTGTACAGAAAAAAATGGTTTTGTCTTGACAGGACACAATTTCCAGTGATATCTGTGAGATTATACATAATAGATAAACATCTGCTCAATAAAACATAATGATGTATACAGCAAAATTATACTATATTAAAAAATATATTGCATAGCTTAGGTTAGAAACTGACATAGGACACTGAGTAAATGGCTCCAAAAGAACCGGACATGTGTTCAATTTATCTTTAAATCTCCAGAGATTAGCACATGATCTGGTTTATAGCAGAAACTCCAAAAACAGTTGTTAAATAATTGAATGACCCATATTATTTAGTTTGCTTAATAAAATCCTAAGTGCAGTAGGATATATATAAAATTTTAATCAGTCTATCAGCGAGGATTTTTATAATATTTACTGTATGTTAAGGAGTCATGGTAAAATACCTGTAATGTATAAAGCTAATGTTTCTTATTTCAATTCCCATAAATGAACAAACTACCTATGAATTCAGGATGATATAAGGGATAGAATTACAAGACAGAAACAAGCCTCAGAAGAAAAACATAATGTTAGGGCATTAGCAAGAGGATAAATTGGGGTCATTTCTCAAAGTACCTGAAATGAAAATGTGAAAGGAAAAACAGCAAGTCTATGTATTCCAGTTTCAGACTACATCATAAAGTCATCAGTCAAGGCAAGGAGAATTACTGTAGTTAATTGCTTCCTTAAGTAGAATGTGCATGCTGTTTGCTGAAGTCAAAGAATTTCTATTTGAAAATATGATAGTAAAATGGATATTTTAATACATTTTTGTAGGAATCCATAATATATAACTTTGAGCTTGAAAATAACCTGTGAACAGCATTGCCTGGGTGGTTCAGTCAATTAAGAATCCAACTCTTTTTTTTTTTTTAATATTTTTATTTATTTCTAGGAGAGAGAGAGAGACAGCGTGAGCAGGGGAGGGTCAGAGAGAGAGGGAGNTTTTTTTTTTAATATTTTTATTTATTTCTAGGAGAGAGAGAGAGACAGCGTGAGCAGGGGAGGGTCAGAGAGAGAGGGAGACACAGAATCTGAAGCTGTCAGCACAGAGCCTGATGTGGGGCTCGAACCCACGAACCGTGAGATCATGACCTAAACGAAAGTCGGACGCTTAACCGACTAAGCCACCCAGGCGCCCCAAGAATCCAACTCTTGATCTCAGCACAATTCTTGACCTCAGGGTTGTGAGTTCAATCCCGGTGTGGGGTCCAGCCCTGGAACATTTTTCAACATATCTGCTTTCACTTTGCAAATAACTCATACCACCCTATACAGTTTAAAATTTTTTGACAACTTTATTGAGGCATAATTAACATAAAATATACAGCATGCACAAAGTTAACAATTTGATAATTTTGAAATATAAATACATCCTTGAAACAATGACCACAATCAACAGAGTGAGCTTACCCTTCACCCCCCAGAAAGTCCTTATATCTCTTTAAAATCTGCTCCTTTTTGCATCTTTTCTCATTCTCTTCCCCATGCAACTACTGATAGATCACTCACTGTGCCATTGGTTTATCCATTCTCTTGTTGACAGAAATCTCAGATGTTTCCAATTCAGGCTGTTACGCATATAGCTGCTATTAAAAAAAAAATCATGTACAAATCTCTTTATGGACATTTGCTTTCTTTTTTTCTTGGTTAAATACCTAGAATTGCATTGAAAGATTAAGTATATGGTAGATTTGTCTTTAAAATTTTAAAGAAATGTCGAGTTGCTTCCAAAGCAGCTACCATTTTATATTTAAATCAGTAAAATATGAGACTACCAGTTCCTCCACATTCATGCCAATATTTGCTATGGTCACGTTTTTTTGTTTTGTTTTTCATTTTAATCTTTCTAATAGCTATGTAATGGTATCTCATTGTAAATTTAATTTACATTCTCCTAATGACCAGTGATGTTCAACATCTTTTCATATGCTTATTTGTTACCTATATTATTGATGAAGATTCTGTTCAAATATTTTGTCTAATTTAATTGGATTGTTGTCATGTTATCAAGTTTTCAGAATTCTTTATATTTTTGTAAATACAAGAATTTTACAAATACACATGATTTGCAAATATTTTCTAATCTGTGGAGAACCTTTCATTTTCTTGTCAGTATCATTTGAAGAATTAAACTTTCTAATGTTGATAAAGTTCAACTTATCAATTCATATATTATGGATTGAGTTGTCAAACTTATATCTGAGAATTCTTTGCTAATGTTAGGCTACAAATATTGTCCTTAGGTTTTTTTTTTTTTTTTAAACATCTATTCATTTTTGAGAGACAGAGAAAGACAGAGTGTGAGTGAGGAGGGACAGAGAGAGAGGGAGAAACAGAATCCAAAGCAGGCTCCAGGCTCTGAGCTGTCAGCACAGAGCTGGATGTGGGGCTCCTACTCACAGACTGGGAGATCATGATCTGAGTTGAAGTCAGACACTTAACTGACTGAGCCAGGTGTCTCTACTTTCCTCTGTTTTTAACCAGTAATTTTATAGTTTTAACTTTTACATTTAATTCTACAATCGATTTTGAGTTCATTTTTGTATTTAGTGTGAGGTATTCTTTGAAGCTCGTTGGTTTACAA